AAAAGCCGACACTTGGTGAAGATAACACACCTAGGTAGTTTATTACTTATCACCCTCTCTTTCAGGAATTAACATCCTATTACTTTTCCATCTCCTTAGTCATGACAGGTGAGTCCTGAAGGGAAGAGGGGTGGGTAACCGACACCCACTCACAATGCGATATCTTTTATTAGTGTGTGTTCATTCTGGTACACGGTTGTTGTTTGGTTTCTCCTATATACTTGGAATTGTTTGAGAATTTTCTGTCTAGGTTCCAGAGAAGAATGGTATATCATAACCAATGGCATGCAATGAGTGGGGATTTTCGTTTTGTACTGCAGCAATTTTTTACACGGTGTCCATGTGGCTCTTTCAAAAGTATGATCTCTCTCTCTGGAGGAGTGTCCTTGTTGGGTGAAAGCCCTTTTGAGATTTGTGAGGTGACAAGAGTAAGATTACAACTCAGAATACAGACCTAACAATATCACTGAATGTATACACTTCATCCTCACACCCAACTTCAGTTTCAATAACCAACACTTCCTCCAGACCATGGACACAGCTATGGGCACCAAAATGGCCCCACAATATACCAATCTTTTTATGGTCCACCTAGGAGAATGCCTCAAGAACTGTACAATCAAACCCATGCTATACCTCAGATATATAGCTGACACCATCATTTGGACCAAAAACCTACAGTCTCTGATTGATTTCCATCACAAATTCAATAACTATCTCCCCTCCATCAGACTACCTCTTGAATGCTCCAGCACCAACATTTCCTTTTTAGACACTATGATCAATATCCAGAATGGTAAAATACAAACCACTGTATACAAGAAACCCACGGACCAACATACATATCTACACAGAACCAGCAATCACCCTAAACACACCAAGAAAGCTGTAATATACAGCCAAGCCCTTCAATACCACTGAATCTGCACTAAGGAGAATACCTCCGATTGTCACCTCACAAATCTCAAAAGGGCTTTTACCCAAGGACCCTCATCCAGAGAAGTAGATCGTGCTTTTGAAAGAGCCATCTGGATACCATGTGAAGAACTGCTGCAGTACAAAAAGAAAATTCGAACGAATCACACACCACTGGTTATAACATACTGCCATCCATCCCTGGAACCTATACCGAAAATCCTTAAAAACTTGCAACCCATACTAGAAGATGACCCAATTCTCAAAGAGATCTTTCCAGACCCACCCATCCTAGTCTTTAAACAAGCACCGAACCTCACCAACCTCATCACCAGAAGCAAACTTCTTATGGTCCAAAGCACACCAAATGAATTCAGACCATGCCAGGACAAAAAATGTAAAACCTTCCAACACATCTCCACCACTTCCACAATAACATCCCACAACAGAATCATCACCATTCCTGGATCTTACACCTGCACCTCCAGAAATATAATATACATCTCATCCAGTGCACCAAATGCCCTAATGGAAAATACATAGGAGAAACCAAACAACAACTGTGTATCAGAATGAACACACACTGAAAATCTATTAAAGACAAAAATATCCAAGTACCTGTCAGTGCGCACTTCTCACAAGATAACCACTCTCTCTCCAATATCTCAATTCTAATCCTCGAAAGAAATTTACAAAACACCTGTCATAAACAAGCTTACAAACTTCACTCCATAAATCTACTGGATACAAAAAAACATGGACTAAATATAGACATTGGATTTATGGTAGATCATAACTTGACTGCTACCCAATAACCCCAAGTAACCTGTCTGCATTTTACCAGCTACATTCTATCACCAGTTCTACATTCCTCTTTCCCACCACCCTTCCCATCTCTTATCTATTGCGCTCCATTCCCTCAGATGCTCACTGCCACACATTTGCATTTTCACAGACCTGCATTTTTCATATTGGCTTCTATTCTATCCAGGAGAGCACACAAACACCAAGGGACTCTCCCAATGCCTGAAGAAGGGTGTTTGTGCCTGAAAGTTTGCAAAGAACATTTTTTCCAATTATTTATCACATCTACCCAAAGAACCTTGTCTTACCACATAATTTAAACCTATAAGTTTATATAGGGGCTGAATAGAAACGTATCTCATTTCAAACACATCACTGAAAGGAAAAAGTATCTATTTAATAAAGAACATTCTAAACATTTAGTTTCTGTAATTATGGCCAATTTTAAGATTTCAGCAGTCCTAAAGGAGTTGACTGACATCATAGCACAACCAGTGGCAAGGATATTTGAGAAACCGTGGCAGTCAGGAGAGGTTCCAGAAAACTGGAAGAGGGCCAATGTGGTGCCTATCTTCAAGAAAGGAAGGAAGGAAGAAAGATCCAGTGAACTACAGGCCAATCAGTTTGACCTCAATTCCCAGAAAGATCAGGGAGGGGGGGGGAAATCAAAGAATCCATCAACAACAGCTAACAGAAGGCAACATTCGGAGAGATAGCCAACATGGCTTCATTGCAGGTAGCTCTTGCCTGACCAACCTCATTTCCTTCTATGACCAGGTGACGCATCACCTGGACAAGGGAAAAGAGGTTGATGTCATATACTTGTATTTTAAAAAAGCCTTTGACTTGGTCTGCCATGATGTCCTCACGGTAAAACCGAGGACCTGCGGCCTCGACAACATGACGGTCCAATGGCTGGAGAACTGACTCCATAGTCAGACCCAAAGAATGACAGTCAATGGAACTGAGTCAACATGGCACATGGTGACAAGCGGCATCCCACAGGGTTCAGAACTTGGACCAGTACTCTTTAATATATTCATAAATTATCTGGATTCAGGTGTCAGAGTAGGACTGGCTAAATTCACAGATGACACCAAATTAGGGGGAAGTACGGTCACACTAAAGGATAAGCTAGCAATTCAGGCCAACCTGGACAGGCTCACAAGGTGGGTGGATCAAAACCTGATGACATTCAACATAGAGAAATGCATGGTTCTGCACCAGAAGAAAGAACCCACATCACACTTACAGGCTTGGCAGGGCTACACTCACTAGCACCATGACTGAAAGAGACTTGGAGGTCATGACTGATCACAAGATGAACATGAGCCACCAATGGAATGCCGCAGCCAGCAAAGCAAATAAAAATCTGGCTTCCCTCTGCAGATACATCTCAAGCAAAACCCAAAAAGCCATCCTCCTGCTTTACTCTGCCTTAGGTGAGGCCACAGCTGGAGTACTGCATCCAATTCTGGGCTCCATACTTTACAATGGATGTAGAGAAGCTTGAGAGAGTCAAGAGGTCACATGTTAAGAGGTCAAGAGAACAGGCCTTATGAGGAGAAGCTAAGAGCCATGGGACCCTTCAGCCTGGAGAAGTGAAGGCTCAGGGAGGACTTGGTGGCAGCCTATAAGTATATAAGAGGTGTGCATCAGGACATGGGAGAACATCTGTTCACCAGGACACCCTGGTCACAAACTTTTGGAAGACTGTTTTAGATTGGAAATAAGGAAAAACTTCTTTACTGTCCAAGTCTCCGAAGTCTGAAATAGACTCCCCCCAGAAGTGGTGCAAGCACCTACTCTGGATATGTTGAAGAAATGCCTGGATGCTTACCTTGCTGGGGTTATCTGACTCCAGCTGACTTCCTGCCCTTTGGGCAGGGGACTGGACCTGATGAACTTGCAAGGTCCCTTCCAGCCCTAACATCTATGAAATCTATGATATCTATTTAAAACTGTTATGAAATTAAGTCTTTATCCCATTTCAAACCACTTTTACAAAGAGATATCTGTGTACCAATATCATTGTTAATAATAAAACATAATACATGAAAATGTAACGCTTCTACAACAAAAGTCATAAGAAGAACTCTATGCTGTACTAAATCAATAATTAAAAATGTAACTGCAAAACTGTAGGGTTTTAAAATTAGTTTAATTCTTGAAGATAAATAACATGCAAATATTGGGCAATCTGTGAATTCAGCCTATGAGACTAAGACTCAGCTAATGAAAGTTTTTGTCACTTTTGCATTAATAGTTATTTTACAAAGTATTTTATAACTCCCTCTTAAATGCAGTATGTAATTTAAAGCAAGCCCCAGCCTGGAGCCAGCCCAATGTCCCAAACCAGCCTCAGTGCTGTGCTAGGGCTGGGACCAAGACCAACAATCAGCTGATCAGCAATCCCAACCCTGTGACAGCCCAAGTTCTTGAACCAACCCTAGTGCTGTGTCACAGCCAGGCTGACAATGAGCTGAAAGCACCCAGCTTTTAACTTGCCATTGCAGGGGAGCCCAGTATCATGAACCCAGGATGTCCTTGCACTAGCAAAATAAAAGAGTGCAATTGGGATCTGATCCCATGACTACCACCTGCCAAGCACATGTGTCATATGGCAGGAGGGGTGATTGTTAAGATCAGGGATCAGAACTCCTGGCGATTTCAAATGAACATGTGCCAGTGCCCTAAGAGACAGTGGACAGAAGCAGGTGGAAGGGTCGATGACAGGCCTTTAACCCAGTGAGGCAACTAAGACAAAGGTTAGAAGTGAGTGCAAAATTAAAGATACCTATCAGTTTTTCTTCACTCCTTTGCAGACCCTATGCAAGAAAGGTTAGCAGATGTGGTTAGGAGCTAATGCATTTTAATGGAAAATGGGCATAGGAGAGCAATTAAAATTAATCTGGGTTCACATGAGAAATATGCTCTTTGTGAACAAAAATTTTTCCGTGCAAAAGTTATTCCAAATTCAGTGGCCTCGGGATTGCCTGACACCACAAAACCAACCCTTACATATTGGATTCTATGCTCACACTTCCTTCTCTCCAAAGCTGCAAGGAACCTTCATACATAAGACCCACTAATGACCGTCTGCTTTCTTTAACAAGTCTCCTGCAGATATGGAAACTTGTCAATAGAGCCTGAAGTTCCACTGGAGGGAAAACTTCTTGGGCCACCCTAGGAACGCACTGCTGCTTCTACAGCCCTAAAGCCTCTCTCCACAACTTCCAGCTTACCACAACTGCTCTTTTTTCTCTTCATTTTACCCTTACCTTCTACCATTTGACCTTCTCTTTTCAGCATCTGGACAGCTCCTACATACTTCTTCAGTTGTACTTTTAGCACCTCATTCTCTCTGTTGGCAGAATCACAGGAAGAAAATAATATTAATTCACTACAA